GGCGGGGGCGGGGCAGGCGGTCCCAACACGATGCCTGGGAGGAAGAACGTGAAGACCGTCAGTGAGGCCTCCGTGAGGCGCCAGGCTGCCACTCGGGGCCGAGGGGGCTTCGCCCCCGAGCTCGCTCGCACGGGCTGGAGGCACCACGTGCGCCCAGGGACGGGCGTTTAAAGTACAGGCCGGCATCAAAACGGCACTAAACACACAGCCGCGCAGGGACGCTTCCTTTAATGTCAGGCGCTCGGTGAGCGGACTGCAACGGTCAGCTAACTGGACTTTCCGGCTCACGGGGGTCTGCGCAATAAACGGGAAGACGCTCGTCCAACTAGGGAGACGGGCGGCATCTGTGAGGACAGGAGACGGCTGCGGCTGACGTGGTCAGCGCCGCGGTCAGCCACCGCCTGGACATGACCTGCACCGCGTGGGCACGGCAGGAGGCGCCTGCTGCTGAAGGCGGCCTCCACCCTCTGCAGACACCCGAGGCCGGGCTGAGGACGCCGGGAGGGCGCTGCCGGGCCGGCGCCCACTGTCTAGCCCACGAGCAGCGAGGACGGAGGGCCTTACCCTGCGGGGCTGGCGTCTCGGCCGGCTGAGAGGCTGCCTGCAAGCCCGGCTCAGGAGCAGAGGAGTCTCCCAGCACAGAGTTTAGAGGAGGCTCCACCGCGGCAGGGGCGGCTGCGGAGGGAGAAGGGAGAACACCGGGCTTGGAGGAGGGGGTCGAGGCGGCAGGGCTGCCCGGAGGCGGGGAAGCTCGGCAGCCACAGTGAGAGAGCGGCCCGGCCGGCCCTGAGGTAGGCGGTGGAGACACGGGGCAGGCAACCGAGTCCAGCAGCCCGTTGGACGCGGCTGGCGACGGCGGCGTCTGGGGCACCGGAGAAGGAGCACAGAGCGGGAGGACAGGCCTGGGGCCGGCAGCTTTGCCCGGGGGGCTGCTAATCATTACTGGAGGAGATGGAGGGAGGGGCGAAAAGCTGGAAGTAGACCAGGCACAGGGCTTCGTAGCTGGAGGCTGAGAAGAGGGTGTGTTCACAGGAGAAGAAGGCCGAGAGCTTTTGTTCAGAGGACGAGGAGCTGTAGCGTAATGGGGAAGAACAGGGTGGAAGGCTGAACCTAAAGATGTCGCAAAACGTGTCGCTGAGTGTCGAAGTGGTGGTGTGGGGGGTGTGGAAGTAGGTGGCAGAGCGGTCACTACAGCATGGTCAGGAGTGGCCTCTGACACTGGCGCTGAGATGACTTTAGCGTATGATGGAGGAGGTGCTGGAGGAGGCTGGCCACTGGCAAACTCAGGAAGTGGAGCGTTATACAGGGAGCTGTCTGGAGATGGAGCTGGACAGAGGTGGAAAGCGGCAGCAAGACAGGATAAAAAGGAGAGAGAAAAAGGGAGCCAGTGAAGCAACAAAAGCAGCATCCAGACAAAACGCACAAACGCAGACAGCAGTGCGGAGTCAGGCACCGAGAGTAACTGACTCCCCTGCGGGCGTGCTAACTTTAAACTGCATTTTCAGATCCAGAAGGGAAATAAGTCTTTTTGAAACCATAAATAACTTATCTTTACAAGAAAAATGCAGTACTAACTAGCTCATTTCCATCATTCAGTCCTCTACAAGGACGTTATAATAGAACCATATAAACAGAAGAGTAAGTTTAGTGAGACAAAAACAAAAAGCCCAAAAAACAAACAGCAGAACTGGAAAATGTTTATCCCAAACGGCCAGTCTCCTCTCGTGCTTGTTTGTGCAAAACGTTTGTTTTGTTTTGGCTATAACCCCAGGAGAAAGAGCTGAAAACAAACGTATTGACTTAAACTGCAAACCAATTAATTGGTATTTAATCAACCCACACTGAGACTTTTGATAAAGGCCATATGGAATTTAAAAATGTCTTAAATCCCATCATCAATGTTCAATTTTAACTAATGCCCAAATAGCGTCAGCTCTGGGCTGCAGTTAACCCTCATGTTTCAATAAATGCTAGCAGATTCGGTGACTTTCACCACTGTAGCAAACATTTAAATAACTAGGCAGTCTTAAGATATTTTCCACCCTCTGCCTTTCACTCCTCCCTCAGAAGCTTTAGAATGCAATCAGCAAATTTCCTGCTAAAGGGTTCTGTCACACTACAGTATTCAGTATATAGTATTCATCCCAAAAGGGAAATACACCCCAGGTTCATCCAATATAAAAAAACTCCCATAAAACCTCTTACACTTCCCAGTCAATTTATAGCAATAGAATTAAGAGTGCAAGAACAAAAATCTGCAAGAGCTCTTAAGTCTCCAAGCAATCAAAGCAATACAGAGAGAAATAAAATGTTGAAGTAGCAACTGCACCCTCTTCTTAATTTCAAATTGTATTTGCTCAACCCCAGGCTCCTCAGGTGTGAGCTATTGGAACACGTCACTGCAGAAACCCTCACCCGCCTCCCAGACGATGCATGCAGGACCGAGGGAAGGCGCGCAGGTCTCACCAGCACTTGACACCCTCCGCTCGCGCTCCAGCTGCTCCCGCTCCAGCTGCTCCTGCCGCTCCTGCCGGGCTCTCTCTTGCCGCTCGCGCTCCAGCCGCTCCAGCCGCTCACGCTCCAGCCGCTCCAGCCGCTCACGCTCCAGCCGCTCACGCTCCAGCCGCTCCCGCTCCTGCCGGTCCCTTTCCTGTCTCTCCCGCTCCAGCTGCTCCTGCTCCAGCCGCTCGCGCTCCAGCCTCTCTCTCTCCAGTCTCTCCCGCTCCAGTTCCTTTTGTCGTTGTTGCTCTTGCAGTTGCCTGAAAAATTTTAAATTACAAATATGTTATCTATGGATACTATTTCAAAATCGTATTCCTTTCATAACAAACTCCTTTTTATGTACACGTGCGTGCAGTTACCCACATCATGGCAACACATGTCTTGTGCACGCTCAGCTCCCTTCCTCAGTCATCGCCAGAACCACTTGGAGGTAAGAAAACCAGTGCATGGCTGTGCCACACGCCTTCAGAGCCCCCGCTTGCCCGCACGGCACCCCCACACCTGATCAGGAGGGGCCACTGAGAGCCGCAGCGGATCGGAGCAACTGCGTTTCCACCATCAGAGCGCTGTGACTCGCAACTGCCTCTTCAGTAAAAGCCCGCCCACCCGTTTGCGCCTTCAGCACATCTTTTTCCTCGCGCATTTTCTGCATGCTCACCAATGCTCGGCATAGTCCGCAGACTGCCAGCTGCTTATCTTCAGGCATCTTCCAAATGACCCTCCCTGTTCAGGACATCATTTTAACAAAAATACATGGATGGAGCTAAGCTCAGTGAAACAAATCAGAAGGAAAAAGAAAAATGTTGGATGATTTCACTTACAGGAGGAATATATTGGAGCCAAAGAAGGGATCAGGGGGAAAAAATAACAATAAATAAATTTAAAAAAACAGGCAACTATAAAGCAGAGACATTCTGCAGGGGAGGGGGGAGGGGAGGGAAAAGGATCAAAACAGGGGAGGAAGCATACAGGGGACTATGGCGATGGAGCCCGGGTGACCAGGTGGTGGGAACTCTATGGGGATGACACCTGGGAGGAGGGCGCACTGCACAAAAATGAACAATTGTGTAAAACGTATTTAAATTAAAAAGGGGCCGTCTGGTGGTACAGGCCTTAAAATCTCAGCACGGTGAAGCTATCCAGAGCCACTGTGGCACGAGTTCAATTCGGGTCCGGGGAGCTGACCCACAGGGCCAAGCAGACCTCTCCTGTCTCACAGGGGGTTTTCAGCGGCTCCGCCTGCTGGCTCTCCACAGTCTCTTCTCTGGTGCATCCTGTCACCACCCCAACCCTGCACCTACGGTCAATACCCTAGTTCTTGTAAGCATAAACAAATAAAAACAAAACTTTAAAACAATAAATTAATTAAAAATACTTTTATTTATATAGTGGAATAAGCCAGGAAGAACTAGTTATACTGGTACATTTATCAAAGATTTGTAAACATTTCTCATCACTAACCACATGACATGTGTTCCTATGTTAACTGACTCAAACACTTGAACATTTCCTGAACTAGAGAAACTACAGAATCCTGCTCTATCCATGAGGTTTCCTTCACTGGGACATACATCCACATCTCTGAGTGTTGCATGGCTGCTGAAAGCTTTTACTGAGCCCCATGCAGCGATCCTTTAAATTTTTGAAGTTACCTTTTTTAAAAATCAGGGACTTCTATCAGGTGGTGCGGTATTGTATTCCCACAACCCGTTCTTAAGGTGCCCGAGCCCAATGGTCAAAGGCATAGAAAATATTTCATACCTTTATACCCTTCAAAAAGGATCTGCTTTCGGAAAGCATTTTCCCTCATTCACGTACAACAGTGTAAGGGTGAATGGGAAAGTTGTAAGTCTTCTTTCTTTTTAAAATTTTTTCCTTTTTAAATATATTCATCATATCATTTTTGTACAATGTACAGTTTCCCTGTGAAATTTCTACCACCTGTTCATCTGGACACGATCACCACAGTCCCTGTGCTCTTCCCATGCCTGTCCTGGTCCTTCTCCCTCCTCCTCCTCTACATAATGTTGCTGATCTATAGTTGCCTGGTGATTTTGATTTTTACTTTATTACAGTCACTTTTTTTTCTGATTCTTTTTTTGTTTTCTCTACCTTCCACCTATAAGTGAGACCATTTGATATTTTTCTTTTCTTCCTGGCTTATTTCGCTGAGTGTAATTCCTTCCAGCTCCATACATGTTGCTGCAAAGGGCATGAGCTTGTCCTTTTTGACTGCTGCATAATATTCCACTGTCTAGATTTACCGCATCTTGATCCAGGCATCTATTTTTGGGCATCTGGGTTGTATCCATTTTTTACTTATTATAAATTGTGCTGCAATAAACATAGGGATGCAGGTGTCCTTTTGAATTAATGTCTTTGTGTCCTTTGGGTAGGGTTCCTAGGAGTGGAATTGCTAGATCATATGGCAGCTCCATGTAAGTCTAATTTCTGACTCATATATAAAGCAATGTAAAGGCAAGCAACTGACATATCTCCTCCCACAAGTTTAGACAGAGAAGACTTGCTAGTTTCAGGAAAATAAATTTAATTGTTATCACTGGTTATCATTTTTAGCTGACTGCTTCAGCACATTACATTAAGTCCCATTTTATTCTGTATTTTTCATGAATAGTATTGTAAATTAACTTTCTACTGAGCCACTTTAATAACCAAGTAACTTTAGTCACTTAATGAAAAAAAAATCTCTAAACTATAATTTCCTTTTGTAAACATAGGAAAGATTTTTCCCTGCACAACAAATGAGCATTTTTAGAAAATACTAAGGCTGGCCACTGGCAACATCCAATTAAAACTGGTGAAGTCACTAAGTATGATTTTATTTTTCACGACTACTTAGTGAACCTTTGTTTTGCTATGCATAGTTTAAGCAATCTCTGGTAAGTTAGCCTAAGACAATTAACTGGCAATAAGCAGTTATATTGTCATTTTATTAACAGCAATAAACATTTCTCTTTATCTTTCAACCCTTTTCCAGCTGCTTCTGAAGGTCACTACTGTCACACAGTGTTGCCAGGTGAAAGCGACATAGTTCCAAATTGGCCTCAGCAGTAAGTGGCCAATTCACGTTCCTCAGCCACCAACAGTGTATGAAAACACCTGCTCTCCTTCCCTAACTGACACCGCCCAGGGCCAGCACGTTAGTCTCTGCTGACAGACCCTGCATCTGTATGAATGTTTTATCAGACGACTGCACAGCCTCTGATCAATTTTCTCATGGAATAGTTAATATTCCATATTTATTTGATGAGTTCTTTTCTATATTAAAGACACTTAAACCTTTGTCACATACTGGTAATATGCATATTATCACATATTGATAATAACTAATGTTTACTATGGTATTGATTTTGTTTGTAACATGGCTTTTAGCTTTCATACAGAAAACTCTCCTTTATATGCTCTGCCTTTGATATCCTCCTTAGCCCTTTCCCACAACAAAATGACCTGCTTACATTCTCTGAACGGTTATCTTCTATAAGGAAACCCTCAGTTCACGCGAAGCATCTTCCCACACTGAGCTGGGACATGGGAGCAGCCCCACAGCAGTGCTAATTCCCTAGCAAGAGACACGCTTGCCCATGGCTGTTCTCGAACTTGAGAATGTCCTGGCCCACAGGTACTTTACCCGGTAGGGCACAGTTTCTCGGCAGGCTGATATCTAAAACATACTTAATTACCTAGTAGGGTTCATCCATTTCATCTAATTTTTAACTTTTCTAGAGGATTCTCTGGCATTTAGCTTTTTCAAGGTAAATTTTACAAGCACTCTGTTAAATTTACCCCTTTTGCCAAGAACTATCCTCTTAATCCTAACAATCATTATTCAATTTGGAGATCAGCTAGCAAAACATTTGCATTGTTTTATCTCTAAGAATGTGTATAATGTCTCAGCATTCATTCATTTCAATTAAAAGTCTGTTCAACACCAGTACTTCAGATGCGATTATGGAGGGTCTTTGTGATTACATCAGAACCCGCAGAGACCTAATAATGTATGTGGCTCTAAACCACACAGACTGCTTCTTAAGTTCCACACACATACGTAACACATGGCTATGTCACCGCCGTAACAACGGCAAGCGAAGGACAGAAAACATCCACGGTAGCCCCCCCTTTTCTCAATCACGACACTGAAGCTCAATACTAAGAGGAAACTTCCAGGCTCTCCTGCTGACGTCATCATGCGAGGTAATTAATGACTAGCTAGCTGAAGCTTCTGAGGGACACATTATCACTTTTCAGGAATGAGGGCAAGAAATGAGGTATATTCCGAATGTGTTTCTAATGATAAATGAGAGCACTTCAGTACTTCCAAGGGAATGAATAGAATGGGCTGGGGCTCACATTAAATTTAAAGCACACAATGTTTGTCCAAAATATGTGGTATTTTAAACTAATTCTCTAACCAGCGATTGGGTCCAAATGGAAAAAGATACACCGGAATTACCCTAATTGAGTATACCTGAATGGACGAGCCACTGAGCACAGTAACAGTACCAAGGAATCTATGATGAAAATGTCCACATTATTAGTCTTACATTTCTGTGACTTCTCTCTCTTTCATTTTATCAAAATAAGACATAGTTTTAAAAGCTCTTACCAAAAACTGGCCCTCCCTAGTGGCACAGCAGGTTAAAGTACAGCACTAAGAAGCTAAAGCCACTTCCTCATGAGTTCAATTCCTGCCTGCCCTGGAGGTGACCACATGGCGTGGCAGACCTCTCCTGACCCGCCGCTGCTCTCCTCAGCAGTGTACTTCACCAATCTGCCTGTTCTGCTCCCCACCCTGTCTCTGGTGAAACCTCTCGCTGCCTCTGAGTCTCTGGCCTGTACCCCAGTTCTGTATGCACAAATAAATAAATCTTTAAAAAAAAAAAAAAGCTCTTACCAAACACCAGCAGCTTATGCCTCAATCTTCCCACCCCACTTCCCAGAGACAGTCCAACTCTTGCAGTTTTTATTTAGACGCTCTCTACTGACTTTCTGATAAGATGCTTCTTGCATCCCCCACACCACACAAAACTCTAATACAGTCATAGGAAGATGTTGACTTCTGGTTACATCATGCTCACTCAGTTTCTGTTTTTAACTGGTAATAATACTGATTACTCCCAGTCGAACCACATCATATTCTGAGATCTTTTTTTTTTTTTTCAAGTTCTTAGTTTTTTAACCTCCAAGTGAATGCCTAGTTCTCAAAGCAGTAACAGTGTTTTCAATGTAAGTAGTAAAC